GGTCTCAAATGGCACCAGGGAAGGTACAGATGAGTAATTCAGAAGCGGGGAGATGAACTGGCAACAGGGAACATAGAACTCCTTTCTTCTCCATGAGCAGTGGGCAGGGGGACAAACAGCAGCCCTCAAGGTCAGGGTTATAAACAGTATTTTTTAATGACCCTGTGTGTATTCAGTCCTCATCTAATGTTTGTACATGCAAGAAAAGTGCAAGATATGGTCGTTATCTTCAAAGGCGTGCAGTGGTAGGGGGACAATATTAATGTGCACAGAACATTGTAGCCCCATTGTAGTCACCATCAACTCCATCAATATTGCCTCACTACATCTGGATGCTTGAATGGAAAGTTAACATTTGTTGGAAGTTTTTGGAAGAATGTCTTTAGTATATAATTCTTTCACCAATAGGTTAGAGTGCGGGCAAAAATAGAAAGCTGGCTGCTCAGAGTCCTCTTTGAAGCTGTATCACAAGTTCAGATCATTTGAATTCCAGTGTTTTGTTGAACTCATTTGAAAATAGTGTCTTCAATTACTTTGGTTTTTTTTCCCTTCATACCAGAGAGTCAGGGCATGAGCAAACAACTTGAAGCCTGTTCACTATTCAGTTCTGGGAAATGCCTTTGGCACTGGGCTTTAATTCACTGAGATTTCTCCCAGAAAAAAAAAAAAAGTGGCTTTGTGAAAGGAAGGTACTGCTTAATGATGGTATTCTATCGCTGCTGTGTCCACAGCAGCTTGCACTGTGGCGTGTAGCACAACTTAAGTGCTCAAAAACATTTGTTGAGGACTCGTTGACTGTCCCTTTCTGGGGGTAGAGGAATGAGCCAGAGCAAAAAACAAATCAGACAATATTAGAACTAGAAGTGAATTGATGGACCACCTAGAAAGCACTCTCAGAATGCCAGCCCTGGTTACAATCATTGTTACTGGCTGTCCTGCCCCACTAGGTTTCACCGTTAGTAACTGGTTAGGGAGGAGAATGCCCCTGACTGGGGGCCTAAGCAATCCTATGGTCTCCCTTGGCTGGTTTCACCTAGATCCCCAGCATTTGTTTAGGATCTTTAAAAGCATAGCCTAAGGGCTTCATTACAGGGGAATTACCAGTCTCAGACTTGTTACAGCCTTGACTTGTTTTTTAATAGCCATTAATTTACTCAGATAGGCAATGATAAGGACTTAACTCAGTAATGAGGGCTCAGAACAAAGGCAAGTCCATGGTCAAAACTGTTAGAGGTGAAAACTTGAATCAAAAACATTGTATAAATGGAGTTACTGACTAAAAATATTCCCTCAAATGCACACTTTTCCGCCCCTCTACTCTGAAGACAGAGCAGACTGTGACCAGCGTGGGCTTTGCTATGTCTTCACAGACAGGTGCTTGCAGGAAAGCCCATTG